TCTGGAGTGGCCACTGGGTTCGAGAAACAAATGGAAATGTTCCATGTAACTTCTTTGGAGTCTATCTTCCAACATAGTATCTGAATCCATGCACTGCTGGCATCCTTTCTGGAAGCTAATTTGGCTTTATTTTCCAACCTGCTCTGGTTCACACATAATTTGGCATTATGTATCAACAGCCTTAAAATCTTCATAGGCTTTGACTATAAGAAAATAATTTAAATCACTATGTTGTACACCTGACACTAATATAATATTGTAATTCATCAATACTTCAATTAAAAAATTAAAAATAAAATTTAAAAATAGTTTAACATTCAAAGACTTCTACAAAAGATAATCATCATGATATTTTTAGTAAATTAAAAATTGAAAATCTTTTACTACTTAATGTCCAGGAATAAGAATCAGTTAAATAGGGCTTCCCTGGTGGTGCGGTGGTTGAGAGTCCGCCTGCCGATGCAGGGGACACGGGTTCGTGCCCCGGTCCGGGAGGATCCCACATGCCGCGGAGCGGCTGGGCCCGTGAGCCATGGCTGCTGAGCCTGCGCGTCCGGAACCTGTGCTCCGCAACGGGAGAGGCCACAACAGTGAGAGGCCTGCGTACCACAAAAAAAAAAAAAAAAAAAAAAAGAAAAGAATCAGTTAAATAAATGTTGGTCAGGGAATTCCCTGGCGGTCCAGTGATTAGGACCCAGCACTTTCACCGCTGGGGCCCAGGTCCAACCCCTGGTCGGGGAACTAAGATCCCACAAGCTGCTCGGCCAAAAATAAATAAATAAGTAAATAAATAAATAAGTAAGTAAATGTTGGTACATCTATAAATGGAGTTTTAAGCAGCTCTGGCCAGCGTTTATATTCTAGAAGTATTTCTATAATTGCATATCAAAAAGTCTCATGCTATAATCCCAAATAAAACTGCATGCACACAGTATGATCTTAACTTCTTAACTGTGTATATATAATATAGACAAAGAGTGAGGGAAAAGAACGTATAGCAAAATATGAACAGTTGTGAGTTTTATTCCTTTCTTATGTTCCAACTTTTTTCCCTATATATCTTTCTGTAATTTCTGTAATTTCCTGTAACGGGCATAAAGAAAATACAATTTTAAAAATTAAGATATAGAAGAAAAAGAAGGGGAGCAATTGATGGACTGCATGTTTTCACGTCCATTCTACCTCCTAGGTGAGCCATATACTGCTCTCTGCATGGCACTTTTGATAGAAATTTACACTATCCATTCTCCTACTGAAGACAAATAGCTAATTAGGGGTGATGATAAGAACCTGTGTCACCTGGTCTCTGTTCTTTTTCAGCACACGACGGTTTTGCCCTTTATATTGATTGAGATGAGGACATCACACCATGCGTATCCCAGCAGGAGCAGTGGACTGGCCGCCATATGTACCTTCTCTGTCGGCTATATATTATGGTAAGGACAGTGCCTGCTGGGCTTTCTTATTGTATTAGATTTTGCACTGCTAAATTTGGGCACATATTTCATTATGGATATAATCACTAACAGATTCACACTGCGTGCCTCATTTGGTCCAAGACCTGGGCTTTGTCTCATTTCCCCAGATGCTTATATTTTTAGAAAGTATATGCCAAACCTCACACAACAGGAATTTGTTGAACAATTCCATGTAAGCAGTGGTTCTTCCAAGGCTACATTTTTCAACTCTTTTTCAAACTAAATGTTTTTCTTGGACATCAGTTTTATTGCTTAGGGGCTTTTTTGCTTGGGATTTTTTGTTGTTGTTGCTTTTTTTGGGAGTGAGGGAGTTGCAGCAAATGCAAATGAGGACAGAAGAAATGACTTCTTAGAGGAGTGACTTCTGTCCTCTAAGTGAAACAAGTGAAAATGTACATTTTCCTGAGTCAGTTTAAAACCTTTTCCAGAATTCGCTATTACATATAGCATGCATTTAATGGTTTTGTTTTGAAAAATTGGGGTAAATAAATAGCAGGAAATCTCTACTTTGTCTGTTGGGCATGAATAAGCCCCAAGTGTGAGGTGCCAAATTTATCTGATAAAAGAATTTTTGCCTGTTGAGTTTACTTCACTTTAATTTCAGTTCTAACTATGTTCTAACATTTCAGAATTATTTATCTTAAGATAATTTCTTATTTCTCTGTATAATTCCCAGTGCTCTTTGATATATTAGCATACACAGAAAAGGTCTCTCCCCTCAGCATTTCCGCCTCTTGGGACTCTCTTGTCCTGAGTTCTGGGTCACCATCACCTCCTTTAAGTCTTTAGGACTGAATCACATTCTTCCAAACCCAGGACTGGACTTAATCCCACCAAACTCCTGGAGCACTTTGGGAGGTCCAGTCCCTGTGGAGCATTTTTCTCCAGCCAGTCCAGAGATATAAAGTAAAGGTCAGTACAGTACTTAACATACTTTGCCCAAATGATCACGTAATGCTCCAAATCTGAGCAAAAAGGGAATTTGCTTTTAGGAAGCCACACCCTGTGGCTGGATCTAAGGGGACATCCAGGCTACAGACCCCAGAACAAACATGCGGTCATGTTCAATTCCATCTGCCACTTCATTGATGAGTCACCGACTGTTCACGAGGACTGGGGAACGTTTGTTTTCCTAGTGACTTTTTAGATTTTTTTTTTTCTACCCAAAACATTAAGTATTGGCTTTCTCTGAAAGAAAAAAAATCAAATGATCTGGGCTCACAGGTGAAGTGTGACTGTGAAATTATATCTTAAAAATGAATTCATGTGCTTTATACATAAGAACTTGATGTTCAAGTGACTGTTATCTTTCAGAAGAGTCAGGTAGGAAAGCTAACAGTTATTCCAGGGTTGCTACAATGTTTACAACACGTCTGGAACTGCCTATAGATTTAGTTTAAAAATCAAATGCCCAGGCTTCCCTGGTGGTGCAGTGGTTAAGAATCCGCCTGCCAATGCAGGGGACACAGGTTCAAGCCCTCGTCCAGGAAGATCCCACATGCCGCGGAGCAACTAAGCCCGTGCGCCATAACTACTGAGCCTGCGCTCTAGAGCCCGCGAGCCACAATTACTGAGCGCGGGTGCCACAACTACTGAAGCCCGCAAACCTAGAGCCCGTGCTCCGCAACAGGAGTAGCCCCCACTCGCCGCAACTAGAGAAAGCCCACGCGCAGCAACGAAGACCCAATGCAGCCAAAAATAATAAATAAATAATAAATTTAAAAATTAAAAGTAGGGCTTTCCTGGTGGCGCAGTGGTTGGGAGTCCGCCTGCCGATGCAGGGGATGCGGGTTCGTGCCCCGGTCCGGGAGGATCCCACATTCCACGGAGTGGCTGGGTCTGTGGGCCATGGCTGCTGAGCCTGCATGTCCGGAGCCTGTGCTCTGCAACGGGAGAGGCCGCAGCAGTGAGAGGCCCGCGTACCACAAAAAATAAATAAATAAATAAAATAAAATGCCCTTCCCACCTCTCCCCGCAAAACACAGTCTCATTACTTTGCACTCATATTCACTTACCTGTGGGAAGGGAGGACTTTTACTCTGGGAACTCTGGGTGTATTTCTGTGAATTCATTTATATGCCATTAAATTATCTGAATCTTGTAGAGCCCCAGAGATTTTAGGAACTACATACTTTCTGATGGCTTTTCTTCCACTGTGGGTGCAATCAGTCCACATTCCAAAGAGACACATGGGAAATAGCACATAGTCTTCATTGTAGACCCCCAAGATCCCTCATTAAAATGAAGCATTACTCACGCTCTCTGTGCCAAGGGCAGCCTGCCAGCTCTGCACCCTCCCTGAGCAAACCAGTGCTTGTTTGGACACGTATCTGCATTAACCAGCAAATTCTCCCAGCTATGTTCTGAGAAAGCTTTCAAAGTAGACTTTTTCCTTTGGTGTTCTGCCCTAGGCATTCATAGCTATGCCAAGAGCTAAACAATGCCCTTCACACCATGTCACATTATACAAACCCAGGGATTTTAATTGTTATCAAAAAAGAGCTGGGTTTTACTCCCTTCCGGACTATCTCAGATGCGACGTACCAATGACACAACAGCAAAAGGTTCAGGATGTGAAATCTTTACCATACCACATACCAGGGTTGTTCTGGACATTCCAGAACCTTATGCCAAAATGTAAGAAAGCATTCCTCTTGTCACAGGCTAATTATAAAGTAGATCTCCCTTAAAATCCTCTGTGTGGTTGAGCTGAATCTATACCTCTGAGGTTGCTGGCCAGCCTGCCTGTCTGCTTGGCTCTGATTCTATTTTCACAAGTCTCCCTACCCGTCTGAATCTGCTGTCTTCCTAGGTTTGGGTCACGAGAGTTGAGAAAGCGAGGGACACCGGAGCTTTCCCTCATGGACTGGAGCCCACTGAGCTCCCACGCTCGGTGGCTCCACTTCCCAGCCCCCATCTCAGTCCGACCCAAGCTCAGCATCTGAAGTCATCCCAGACCCTTCCCTTGCCCACCTACACCTGTCTTTCCACTTACCCAGGGGTCTGGGACACAAATACCCCCTGACCATTGATGGTGGGCTCTTAACTCCCTTTCTGTACACCTCTCCTCTACCAACACTCCTCCGTGCATTTCTCTGCACCTTATTTGTGACATTTCCCCCTAATGAGTGAGATGATCCATATTCTCCTATGCAGGACACAACACAGAAGTCCCCTTGGTTTCTAATGCAACAGTAATTATCAGGAATTGTACTGAGTACCAGTTTTTCGACTTCTGTGCCAAAAGTGATTTTAAATATTACCGTATTTAGGGGCTTCCCTGGTGGCGCACTGGTTGAGAGTCCGCCTGCCGATGCAGGGGACACGGGTTCGTGCCCCGGTCCGGGAGGATCCCACATGCCGCGGAGCGGCTGGGCCCGTGAGCCATGGCCGCTGAGCCTGCGCTTCCGGAGCCTGTGCTCCGTGACGGGAGAGGCCACAACAGTGAGAGGCCCGCGTACCGCAAAAAAAAAAAAAAAAATTACTGTATTTAGTTCCCCAAATAACACTTTGAGATAAGCATTATCTGGCTCATTTTACAGGTAAGGACACCAAAGCTTAGAGAGATGATATGGCTTGCCCAAGGAAAAGACACTAATTTTTCTTGTTGCCAGAACTACAGTTGACCCTTGAACAACGTGGGGCTTAGGGGTGCTGACCCTCGCCGCAGCAGAAAATTCGAGGATAATTTTACAGTCAGCTCTGTATACATGGTTCCTCTGTATCTGCAATTCCTTCATATCTGAGGTTCCACATCCGTGGAGTCAACCACTCTCAGATCATGTGGTAGTGTCGTAAGTATTTACTGAAAAAAAAATCTGCATCTAAGTGGACCATTGCAGTTCAAACCCATGTCGTTCAAGGGTGGACTGTATAGTGCAAGCCCTGGGGTGTGGCTGCAGAGTCTATGCAGTGAACCATGTATTCTCTACCCCTTCTTACTGTGTGAAGGGTAACCCTATGGGTGAACAAGTCAAGTGAGTTTTTAGTTTTTGTTTTGAAGCAATACATCAGTAGCAGCCAGGTCTAATCGTTAAGGCCACTTCCTGGGTTTGAATTCCCACTCCCACACTTAACCTTTCTGGGCTTTAACTTATTCGGACATAAAATAGGGACAGGGATAGTATGTACCTCATGGGGCGGTGGTGAGGACTCAGTTACTCTATGTAGAGCCCATAGAACTATGCCTGGCAGACAGTAAAAGTTTCTGTATTTGCTATTATTATTATTATTTCTACATTTGCAGTTTTGAGAAGCTCCTCAGCAATAGTAGCAAGAGTACATGTTTTCTTCTCAAGGGTCTGAGAATTTTAGATACGATGCTACAAGTCCTGATGCTACAAGTCCTTTCTCTTCCTTTACTCATCCTTGCTCACTTATACACTCGTCACTTTAAGAATCCAAAACAATAAAGGATATAAAAATACAAATTTGTTTTTAAGTTTAAAAGGATCATCAGGAAATCTTGAAGGAGGGGCTGAGTAAAACAAGTGAACTTTAAGATCACGGGATGCTGACTGTTGTCACCCTCCAGTTGACAAATTCTACAAGAGCAGATGTCCTCACTCCACCTGGTGCAGGACTCTTGGTGGCCAATCTGTTCCTTGGATGTGGTGCCTCCTCCCCAGCACCTCACATCTTTGTCTCCCTGCAGTACTGCTGCTGCTGCAGCTCTGCTTTTCAATCTGCAGGGCACACAAAGAGGAAACCACTGCAGATCCTAGGAAATTTACATCCCCAGGGATTCAACAGTGAGTCTCCTGTGTGCTGAGGAGTCTTCTTGCTGCCTCTGGCCATCACCCCCTCCCACGGTGGTTCTCATTCAGCCAGAGCCCACCTGAGATCTAAGGGGCCGTGCATAGTACATGCTGACCACTAAATGCAGGGCAGAGTCAAAAGCAAGGAGGCATTAGTGAAGTGGAGAAGATGGGTCCTGGGAGTGTCTTCTCATGGATAAA